AGCTTGACCACGGGGTGATGTCATCGAAGTGCAGGATGGGTGCAGAGGACGCCAGGGCTCCCATGGCGACATGGGGATACTTTAACCTGAACCATGAAGCCAACACTAGAACCAACAGCCAAAGCCATAGACCATAAGACATCATTAGTTTTATTTTGTAATATCCACATGACAACATTAGTGTATATTAGCTCATCTTGATCTACACAAAGCTACCGATCACACCATCGGTCACGTCTATCGAACATTCTTCCTATCTAACCTAGCCATCAGGGCAGATTCGACAGAGTTCCTATGTAGATTATTGTCGTCTCCTCACGCTCTTCGCAGCGACATATGGTGTCAGGCGCTTCAGCCGATTCATGGGTTCAACGGCAACGACTGCAGTGCTTTGTACTATTGGTGAACTTTTATAATATATCTAGACCCTTCTTCACAAAAAAAATAAAGCTACCACAACTACAACAACTCTCTTTTGTTTGAGAAACAACAACTCCACCACTTTTGTTTGGCTTGACACCAGCTGGCTCTTACAGCAACCCCTAGCCACCACATTCCCAGCCTTCACACCCACTCAATCGAACCAAAATCCTAGTCTATGAGACCATGCAAGATGGGTTGCATGCGAATCTATGAAATGGCCTCGCCAATGTTGCTTCGAAAGAATTGCCCGCTTTGTCTTTGTTAGTCTAATGACTTCTCCCTTGTGTTGTCTACAACCTTCTCAATCATGAGTATGGGGATATGATCACGCTGATCTGATATGGCTCTTCCGAGACCCCAACAAGATCAAGGTCTTCGGCTAGCTACTCTTTGTCGTGGATGTCTGGATACCAAAGGAAATCTATTCCACAAACATCTCCTCCACTGGCTCGTGCCCTCAATGCACATTTGCTTCCTAGGACACCCACCACATCTTCATCAACTCTCCGAGCTCCATGCGGATTTGGAGTCACCTCGGGTTGCATGTGAATCTACGAAATGGTCTCGCCAATGTTGCTTCGAAAGAATAGCCCGCTTTGTCTTTGTTACTCTAATGACTTGTCTCTCCATGTTGTCTACAACCTTCTCAATCACGAGTATGGAGATATGATCACGCTGATCTCATATGGCTCTTCTGAGACCCCAACAAGATCAAGGTGGCTAGCTACTCTTTGTCGTGGATGTTTGGATACCAGAGGAAATCTATTCCACAAACATCTCCTCCACCGGCTCCTGCCCTCAATGCACATTTGCTTCCTAGGACGCCCACCACATCTTCATCAACTCTCTGAGCTCCATGCGGATTTGGAGTCACCTCAGCATCATCCCTACCACGTGGTGTAGGATCTTTGGTGCTCCCCTACTCCAGCTCACCTAGATAACGACATCTGGGTAGAAATCTTGTTGTTTATACTTTGAAAGATTTGGGACTTCGGTAACAGCAAGGTTTTCAGAAACAATGACCTCCTTGGTGTGTAGCTACCATTATAAACATCTTTTGGATTTCAAACATTTGATCTCGGCAGTTTAAGGAGCCAGTTGGTAATGTTATTGCATTGTCTTGGCGGGACTACCTCTCTTCAAGCATCGTCGTGACCCTGTAATTCTTGCCCTTGAATTATTATGGGTAATATACATGTGGGGATCTTCCCCCCTCCCCACCCCAATCCAAGTGATTTCTTTAAAACAAAACGAGTCAGGAGGCGACAACCACTCCTAAAAATAATAATAAACTTAAGAAGGAGATTCATACTAATGCATGAACGGACATAATAAGGAAACATGTTAGTGATGGACTTACTGCCGCCGTAAGAGCCGCCGAAGACGACGACGGGGGCGCCAACAATGGACATGTTCTGCTTGAGACTGGTGATGAGGATGGCAAAGTCAGCGAGCGCCTGTGTGGACGTCAGGTAGCCCAGCATGTCAGTTGACTTGTATGAGTCATTCCCGAACGGCTTTGACTCCCCGTAGAACCGATGCTGCACTCCCACACAAATTTCAAACAAGTTGCAACTTGAACAAGTGAATATTGGTAGTATTTAATACCATTAATGAAGCTTAAGTACCAACTAGCGGAATGACCCATGCATTTGCATGGGTAGATTTGTCGCCTGTTGTTAAGTTTTGGTAATAGCATGTTTGCTTATTTCAATCTGGTTCATTGGCCTTGAGAAATTAGACACCAAAAATTAACACCACATTAGATGAAGAGGAGCTTCAAATAAGAAATAATCGAAACATAATATCGTTGGGCCTTCTTTCTCCCCTTTCTCGTCGTTAGTGATATTGCAGTTAGGTTCAATTAGGGATATGACATGCATCGACATGCTTCCACACATGCACGCCTTAGTCTATTACTAATGTATTGTGCTCATATTTAACGATAATTGTGAAAACATTATCTATATTATCTCTCTAGCTACCAACTCTTGCATACCTTGTAGGCATGAACATTACCTTGTCTTTCTAATTGTGTCCATGGTATATGCGTCATAACTTAGCTTTTGCTGATTTCCATAGTTGCACTAAATTCTACTGTTTAACACAACTAAAATGACTTTTAAGTACTTGACATGAACTTTTCTTTCTAACCTATACAAATACAAAAAAAAAACACTTATTTCATTTCCGATAGTCACCCAAACGCTCATCGATCCGTCAATTCTTATTATCGAATGTGCGTACATGACTTATTACATGGTATTTGATCGTGTCGATGTTGCTTGCACTAATTTGTATTTTTTTAGCGCCGTTCAAGTATTTAGACATGATATTTTTCTAATGCGATCTCCCTCAATCACTTAATTTGTTATTTCAGATTGTGCCCATGTTCTTTTGCTTATTTCACTTGCCGAAGTATGGAAATATGATTATCGATGACAAAGTAGGCCTAGATCACGTGGGTAAGAGGAGTGGATATGCAATCTCATCACCGACACTCATATTTATTGTACCGCAAAAGATAAAATTTGTCAATATCTCAAATTCGCTCTCCCTCTCCCTCTCCCCCTCCC